AGAAATATATTTTCATTTCTCTTGGATAATGCCTAGGAATGGAATTACTCTTAATTGTTGAGATGTTGTTGAATTTTTCACATACTTCTCCTCTCTTGATTTAGATTGAGAAGCCCTTGAAGGTTTGGTCAGGACCTCTGAGTTCGAAAAAGCCCAAGTCACCAATTTTTTTGAGGTCTTCTGTGTATTATAGCATGAAGAAATACCTCCAAATAGAATTTCATGGCATATATTAAATGTTTGTAATTAATAGATTTAACCATTTAAAACTCATGTACGTATATCCCAAAGTAATTTATTTCTTTGCATGCAAAAAACATAAGATCAAAATCTTTTTTGATGGAGTCGAAAAGTCAGAATTTCTGCAGTGAAATCAGGACTCTTAAAATTTCCAACACAGAACACTAAACTCACCTGATTTCAAGGTCGTGTGGGTGTCTGCCAACCTAGAGGCTTCATTATGTTTTAATGTTTCTCCACAGATGGCAACATCCTGCAATATAATTGTACTTTCTACAAGGTAATTACAGGATTCATTAACAAAATTAATTCGCTAGAGGGAGTGAGTTCCAGTAATGGGACAGCAGCTTAAAGTTGCATGTTAGGGGCTGGCCCGTGGCTCACTCAGGAGAGTGTGGTGCTGATAATACCAAGGCCCTGGGTTTGGATCCCTATATAGGGATGGCCAGTTAGCTCACTTGGGAGAGTGTGGTGCTGACAACACCAAGTCAAGGGTTAAGATCCCCTTACCGGTCATCTTTAAAACAAACAAACAAACAAATAAATAAGTATTGCATGTTATATATCTTCTTTTGAGGCTGCCAGAGTATGCCTGGGACTGGGCATAAGACCATTTAGGGATATAAGACGCACCAGCCAGATGGACTAGGGTCAACCGCTGGGACATTTCTTTGTACCTCTTATGACATTTTACACAGCAGGGAGGCTAAGTGTTGTGTATGAAAATACCTTACTAATCATTTGCCTCTCAACATAGCCAAGAGGTTAATTCTGGAACCTGAATTCTTGGGTTCAGCTGCCAGGTTCACTGCCATCTAGCTGCATGGCCTTTTCTTTTTTTTTTTTT